AATCCACCTCTTGAAGAATGTGTGTTGCTAAACCAATGGTAACTAATTACCTTTTTGTGATTATTATTCTTTCTCTTCCATTACTCACATACAAAATCAACAGGGCAGCAAAAAATCAAGCTATCATTGCAAACCTCAAAGCACAAAGAGCCTTTCTCAATAGAGCTAAGCTGATTCCAATTCCTGATGCTGAAGATGTAACAACAATCAAAAACTTTCTGAGCTTTTCGTAACAAAAAGCATACTGGGTACAAGGAAGAACCACACTACTAGACAAAAGCCAAAAGCTGTGGTACTATGCTTGTCCCCAGTGCCACAAATCCCTTAGATTGCAACCCAACTGGCCAATTATTTGTACCGCGCATCAACGTTGTCACAAGGTTCAATATCTCTAATTCCAACACTAATTACTAAATAACAACTCACCCATTACTCAATAACAGGTGCAAGCTCACAATACAGCTTACAAACAACTCAGGGACTCTCACGTTTGACCTTTATGCACAAGATGCAGAACAACTGCTCTCCTTCAACATAACAGATCTCCAGAAAGAAAAGAATCAGGTATACACAATCCAATCCTTCCTCTACAACCATTAAAACAACCTCTATTCTGAATGCCTGCTTAACTAAACAGAATAGTATGCTCTACGACATCATTGAAGAATCAATCAACAAAACTACCATTGCTTGTTTCCTGAAGAAAACAACAACAAACTACACCACATTCAACACTGATAGATGCACTCCCACAAGATTGACCCCAAACACACTGCAATGCCACCAACCAATGGTTCCACATGAAAGTACAAAGGCACATGAAGAAATTGCTCAAACTTCTACTAAATTGCTCATAGTTGACCTTTCACCTGCAATTGCTCAAGCTTCTACTGAAGTTCCAGCAAAAGCTACATCAGACGCACTTCACAGAAGCCTCCTTGACTTCCTCAAAATTGGAGAAAGTCCCACCAAGAAACAACGTGTTACATCATCCAAAAAACAAGACTAATGCTGCAGAATATAATGCCTTGCTCTTCCTTTTCTATTTTGTGCCATATCTTTGAATCAGCTACTGCTTTTCTCTTTTGTATCTGTATATAACTGCCCTTTCCTACTAGTACTGCAGTCCATTTTTTGTATGACTACATAGCCACTCTTATCAACTAATGTATATTGTCTAATGTATATTACTTTACGTCCTAACCAAGCATCTTTTCTATCAACACTTAGCTCCTCTTATCAACTAATATATATTGCTTTTGCATGACAGAGAAGCTTACTAACAGGTCTAAAACTCCCACGCCTTGCGTGGGAAGCAACCCCTAGTTATATGATAAAATTTGACTGGTAAACCCTCCAAAAAATTCAAAAGGCTAAAGAAATCTTGATGATGAGAAAGAAAAAGAGTCTTACAAGCAAAAAAATCCAGACCATTATTGTTCTTGTTGTTGTTCTCGGTCAGAATATAAAAAAAAAACCAAAGAAAAGAAAAGAAGAAGAAGATGAGATAAATAAGAGGATGATTGAAGGGAAGATAAGGTGAAGAGTGAGACAATAATGAAGAAAGGAGAGGAAAAATGGGCATTTCTGACTCTTTGGTCTCCACCCCATCTGGTAATCACGATAAGGTTAAGGAAAAGAACAATAAAAGGGCACAAACATGGTCAAAATTACAAGAAAGCCCAACCAAACATTAATAAACGGACACACAAATTTCCAAATTTACGGGCAAAACCGGACTACCAAGGGCATTATAGAGAAAGAAAATGCAAAGTCAATATCAGAAAATTTAGGAGCCACAAATTTGACCTTTATGCGACACTGGAAAGACCAAAATACCTGATAAAGTCATCAAAATTACCATCGAAACCGACCCAAATGAGAACTGTAGCAAAGCCACTTTCCCCCTTTTATATATTGCTAGTGTTTAGGGCCACGCCTAGCATGGCCCTGCTCAGATATGGTAAAATTTTGATTTTGTTGTCTTAGTTGGAAGAATTTGTGGTTACATATCTCGTAATACTTTTTCCTTAATAAGCAATTTTCTCAGTTTTATGTTTTTATCAACAGCCACAATGTACAACTAATTGTCAATATTATAGCACCACTTAATAGAAATTTAAGAAGTCAATTTAATTTTTGAAAATAAGTACAAGCAATTAAGTTAAACCTGTTCAGAGTCAAGGCTTGTCCCTTCTTTCCATGGTCTTTCTTCCAATGCTTCAAATTTCTACAAACTTTAGGTAAATCAGATGAAAGAGAAAAAAACTACTTACATATTAAGTAGTTAATAGAAATACGCTCGCCCCTCTCTCACGCATGCCATTCAATTCCTCACTCCTCTAGCCAGCCACCTTCTCTCCTCTATGACACCATCTCACTGCTGCTATCCATATAGAGTTCCAGTAGCTTACACCATTCTGATGATTTTTCCTACCTTGAAATTTATGCATGTGTGGGCAGCCAAAAAGGCACCTTTAATTTCAGGGTATTAGGAATTTTATAAGCGTGTTTCGAGTATTAGAAGAAGTGGGATTGTTTAATCTTCATAGTTTGAGGCATCTTAAATTGATGATGGTTTCTAAAATGAATGGGCGAGAAATCCAAGAAAATTTGGTACTTGGACTACTACAATGTAATGGTAGTTTAACAATCTCTAGGGAATTAAGCCAAACATAGAGTAGGCAACAAACGCAAAGAACACATGCACAAATATGGAAACAACCACGGACATAGAACATGTACCAGGCAGAGTCTAACGACAAAGACTATCAGGAAGCATCCAAAATAAGAAAAGGAAGGGAAGAAAAATCATAGAGCATAACTGTACAACTTAATTTTGAAGTTAAAAATGCACAAAATATCAGTTTGTATTTTAAAAGCCAGTTGCAAAGGTCAGGAGTAGTTAATATCTCTTCATTCTTTTGAAAAGAATGCACTAAGAACAATAGAAAAAAGGAATGACCCAATACATGGATTGAAGTTAGAGATTCAAAGTAAAACCAGAGCATGTTCTGAAAAGTATTTGACCATGACATTCATAGATGGAGAAAGTAAGGCGCTGCTACTGTTGCGTCTTTTAGCGTTTCAGAGGTAAAAATTTTGGAATTTTGGCCAAAGAGGACAAAGAGGGGATGTAAACTTCGATTAATCAAAAGTTCAGGAGTCCAGCAGAGGGGTGTCCAATCTTTGAATGGTCAACTTCATTCTCTGTCTTCGAGATTTCTAAGAGAGTCCCAATTGGCCAATAAATGGAAAAGCAAAAATACTTGAATAAACCATTTCAAAGTAGCTCCAATAGAATAAAAGCTCAGAAATTAGCATAGAGAAATCCATAGAATTTTTTGATAATCATAAATAGGAAAAGAAATCAATTTCAACATTTTCAGAATAGTATATGACCATAAAATAAACTATGGTACCAAAACCCATATGATTAACTTGATTGTAAGATTAAAATTTCATATTAATATTTGTTACCTGGGTACCCATAAATAGGCAGCCGTCCGTCATTGGTGTAGGTTCTTCTTTGGAGAGAGTGGAGAGCGGAGAGGAAAGACCACCTCAGATAACAAAGGGAAAAATAATTATCTTTTGATTGTATCTCGTGGGGTTAATTTAAGTGTTGTTTATGAATTTCTTGTCAAAAAAAAGAGAACAAAGGGAAAAGAGAGACAACCTGGCTTGAGAGAGCAAGGAATGAGTCTAAGAGTTCAAATATAATATTATTATTACTCCTAACGAAACCAATATTAACAACGAAACCGGACCAAACATTCATCCCTGCCATAGCCAATATTTACAAGTAAACCGGACAAAAGTCACTGTTCATCAAACCCATTGACGCTTTATATGTATATGATAGATAGATGTTTTTGGCCCCTTTCGTTGGGTAAGATGATGAAGCGGAAAGCAAAGTCAGTAAAGAGCAGAGAGCAAAGAAGAGGAAAGAAAGCCATGGACCTACTTGCATTTAACACTCAAATCCATTTTCATTTTCCAATTTCTAAGGTAAAATCTCTGATTTCTTTTTCCCTATTACCCCCTTTTCTTGTTCCTGAACTTGTATATATCTGAGCGGAGTTGGGAAAATGGTGGTGTTTAACTTCTTTCAAGCTGAATTTTGCAGTTTTTTAGTTTTTCTAGTTGATCACTCTTTTTATTTTTCAATGAATTTTTTGATGATTTGTGTAGATTATTCTACCTTGGAGGCAGGGGCAATGTAGTGTGAATGACTTGGTTCTTCCATGTCAATTTTCTAAAGAAGAATGCTTCTCTTCTAACATGAGGTGGAAAGGGCAACCTGTTCATGAAAGGTATCAATTGCACTTAATTATGAGATTCGTATTTGAAGATTTACCATGGCTATTGCTGTTTTAGAGCAGCAGATCGTTGAGTGCAATTTAGTGGGATTTTGTTCAAATATTATTAGTACATGATTACATTGTTTTGCATATTACATTGTTTTATGAAGCTGTCAAATTTAATTGAAGCTCTGGCAGTTGGGGTTGGTGGGATTCATGTGATAGTGTGATGGCATGTTGGAATAATAGGATGTGCATAAACCTGAGGCATTTTTGTATTTCTGGAGTTCGAGTATTACATTATTATTAATTTCCAAGCTGAATTTAGTTTCTTTCTGGACTTATATTTTCTTGTTGCATGCCTGAGCTTGCCAACTTCTTTTGGTGATTTAAGATTCTTTTTTCCTAATCAACATCCATAACTTCAGTAGCCTAAGAATTTAGATGATGCAGATAGTAATTGCAATGCTAGGTCTAAATATTTATTGTTCCAGGACAAAAATTAAACAACTTCATGCTCTTAGAGTTACATCTTCAGGTGCAAAATCTAGCTCTTTTTTTTTCTTATAATTTCAGCTTGAAAATTCAAAGGTTGCATTCTTGGACATATGCTTCCGATTCTTTTCTCCCTGTAGGTTTGGAAGATTCTCAAGCTTCTTCTTCCCAATTTGAGGAATTTTCTGTAACACCGTGTAAAACTAACAAAGTTAATGAATTGAAGGTAAGACAGTGATTTCAAAGTATGCATGTTACACTATGGTTTAGTATAGATGTTGTTGCACCAAAAGAATGGTCTTGTATGCGAACTGTTTGCAGAGGATAAATATGGAATTCAATGGAATTACAACAACTTTGAAGTTCAAAATTGCCTAGAAGTATAGACTTTGAAAAATCTGTTGCATGCAGAGATGTGTTTTCTTTTTGTAGGAGGAATTGATACTGTAAAAATTTGTATACCCTTTTTCCAAAACAATGACCTTAATTTTGAGGAGAGTTATCAACTTATCAAGACATTGGTTGCAGATAAGCATGGTTGTAGAAGGCAAAAGAACTCAAGCAATTTTTGATGATGTGTTTTCTTCGATGGTTGCTGACGCTTAGCCAATTCCAGGGTTTCGAAAAGTCAAAGGAGGTGGGCTATTCCTGAAGTTATCTCAGCTGTATATTTTACAGAAATGTACTTTTAAGCTGTTGAAATCAATCAAATGCCTTTTCTATTACTTCTGAGCTCCTTGTTGTTCCTTCTAGTGTATTTCATGACTCAATGTCCTCTAGGATATTTTTTTCCATATTTTATTACGACATGGCTCTTGATTTGTGATTTTCCTCTTTATTTGGTTGTCTGTTGCTGACAACTGGGGACCATCAGGAAAGACACCGAATGTAAGTTATGCTTCGATTAAACTTCACAACATTAATACATGGTAGAAGCATCATACATGCATGACTGTCTATGGTACCATCAGATAAAATAACTCTATAAATTTGGATTTACATGTCCAAACATTCAACTTCATTGTTAAAATCAATTTAGTTTTGGTTCATGGCCCTAGAGGTCCAGGTATGTAGTTATTAGCCAACAATGACATAGATGCAGAAATCAAGATCTCACCATTCCCATTTCCACTGTACAGACATGTCACAGATTGATGTGAAAATAACATTCTTGTCTTCATAAATTTTGCAAATAAAGTCAGATTCCTGCATGGGCATTTAGATTTTGTTTGAGTCAGTAAATGCATCTGTTTCTGATGAAAATACCTAGGCTTGTGAATCGCATACTCTTTTCTACCCATTTGGATAAGGTTTTATCCGTATTTTTGGGGACTAAGTGTGACGACCCCACCTCTCCCTAGGGTTTATCCTAGGGTTTAGCGGACCGCCTGCCCAACTCTCGCCAGGACTCACTCACTTACGTAAAAAAAATAGGATGCAACCTCAAGAATAGAAGAAATAATAATTCCCAAGTTTGGAACGTACAAATACATTCATTTCTATCTCAAACATCCATACAATCCCAAATATATCGAAAGATTTAAGTTCTCAATACATTCAACCCTAATTGAGCGACTAGTGCGAGTACAATTACAAAATTTGTAAAAACTAGATTATGTTAGCCTGTACCAGTCGCACACCTCGCTCGTACCCCCTGTAAGGAAAACAAAACTAATAGAGTGAGTTAAAATTCAGTGAGGCTCTAAATAGCAAGTTGACCATTAATTAAAAGTATAAGTATCAACGTAGCAAAATAGCGAGCATAACAAGTTCATAAAAGTGAGCAATAACACTTCAAGTAGCAAATCTCAAAATGAGCGAGTGTAAAATTCTTTTTTCTAAAAGAAACAATAGCACTACGAATAACAATCAAAGTATAAGGATACTGATGGCTCTCAAGAGCCAAATTCCCGTTGCTTCACCATAGTTTGATCAAGTAGTAGTTGACACTCCGTCAACTTCCAAGTGAAGTAACCAGTCCAGTAGTGCTCCACTTAACGCTAATTTCCATCCACCATTCAACCCTCTTACCGGGCCCGAACGTTCAAATAAACACATGTAGTAATACTCGAGCATACCGATTAGTCGAGGAAGTATCACTCCACTCGACAAACAAGAGACCTATGGTTCGTTATCTAATCGACCAAACCCTTGCCGACTCGACTCGATTAACTAGCCAGTGGGGTTTGGGTTCCCAAATAGTTAGCATAGTCGATGACTAATCGACTTCATCAAAAGAAAAAGTATGGAGACGGGAATGAGAGGCACCTCCCACTCGGATAGAGTGTGGTACATACTGTCGCTCAGCACATACAAGTCAAGTACAAGTACAAATACAAGTACAGGTCAATGCAAATCAAGTTACTTGTACAAGCATGAATGAGATATCAAGTGTTTAGTTGAGTTACGTCAAGTGCGATAAGGTACACACTTGCCTGACCAAACCAAGCAAATCTTATCCGATCACGTTGGTAAAGGATTTAAATCAAGTATCAAGTTCAATCACATATTTGGAGCACTCACCAAGGGTCTAGTGTTTTTCAAAATCACATTCATGTCCAACTCCTTGGTTGGAGTCCAAATCTGCGATAAAATATCATTTAAGAATATAAAACTCTCTAGAGTTCGAAACATAGGAGTTTCGTTTCAAGAAAATCAAATAAATAAAACTTGTTTAAGTGGTGGTCATATGGCTTATCAAACTCTAGAAAACTCATGCTCGCTCTTTTAGTTTCGATAGAGAAGTGATTTATACTCTTGAAGTCACACTTAGTATAAAAACTCGAGAAAATCGTCTTTTTAAGGGTCGTTACTTTTACTTGTTAAAGGGTACGAGTTTCGGCAAAATTTTCAACTTATGTATCTCTTACTAAAAAAAATTCAAATACCATAAATAAGCGAAATTCGCTTCAACCTCGAGTCATCGCTCAAGTCTCAAGTTCACTCGTCTAATCGTGGAGCGAAAATTTGGGCAGCATGCCCTTTGTATTTAGCTATTTTCCAGCCACTTATGACTTCATTTTTTTCCTCAACTCAGCCCAAATTCAACACATAAGCAATCTTAACACAATATATTTTCAACTAGGTTCAATATCATCCAAATACAAGTCAATTCTAGCAATGAAACAACCAAGACCAAAGCTGGAAACTAGTATTAAAGAACAATGTCTAAGTGGCAGATTTGTCATCCTTCGATGTTTTGGTCATAATTGAAGTTAGGTCTATCAGATCGAGGTAAATTTTATGGCGTTTCGAAACTAAGAGATAGACCTACATTTTCTATGAAAACATAGACACCCAGTTCTCGCATTTTCAATGTCAAAATTTGAAATCTCAGAGAAAATAGAAAGTTGTCAGTTAAACAGGGCATTTGGGCAGTCAGGGGTATTTTAGTCATTTCATAAGTTACAGTGATCCGATTGAACTGAATTTTGTAGGTAGATAGTTAACTCAATTCCCTATAACTTTTATGTTTTGAATAAGAACTGATTTGGCCTTTATCATAGATGAATATGCAGGTCAGTTTGGTTCCAAAAATAGGGCAGAATCACTACCAAATACTGGAAATTCAACTTTTACTCTAAAAAGTCATAACCAAGCCATTAATCACTTCACCAAATCCATATTCTAGCTCAATAACATCACTTACTAGGTAAACAACAATAATCAAAACTGAAAAAATGCAAACCCTAGCTCAACTTGCCACTACTCCATCAAAACTAAACAATCAACCATAGCAAAGTAAGATTAAAAGCTTCTATACCAAACTTAGCAAGATTAAGCAAGAGGAAAGGAAATTTTAGCCTTATACCTTCCAATACTTATTGCTAAGTGAAGAACCAAAGTACCACAAGCTTCTTCCTCCAAAAACTCTCCACCAAAGTTTCTCCTCCTACTTAGAAATCAGTTTTTATGGATTGATTTTGCAAGGTTGAGGTCAAACTCAAGGATCAAGCAAAGTTGTTATGGTGGAAATGGAGTTTTCTCTCCTCTCTTTTCCTTCTCCTAATTTCGGCCAACAAGTGAAGAGAATGAAGAAGATGAGCTAAAAATGAAGGATAAGAAGGAAGGAAATTGGTTGGTCAAACAACTCTTGGATGGTTGCCATTTGTTGCTCCAAGATGCTTCCTTATTTTTTTCTTTTCTCCCTCTTATTTTGGTCAAGAATTTTGGCCACTATAAGGAGATATTTAGGGCTAATTTTTCTCAATTAATAACAAGAAAATTAAGGTAATAAAGTAGTGTTTAAGTGGTGTACTCAATCGGTAGCAAACGGTGCGCGTCGGTTCAAGCCTATGTTCCTTAACTCTCTCGTACTTGTGTTTTAACTTGTGATTCACTAACTTATTATGAGCACTTCTAATCACACACTTTCTCTTACTTAATACTTGTTCTTATCCATCAAATTTAGTACACACACCTCACCAAATGATCACACTACCAAAATGCACCAAAAACACACCAAAAATCCTAGTATGCACAAAAAATTCTAACTTATGTCATTCCTTTAGAAAAATCATAACTTAAGTTATAAATGTCAAACATTCATACAACTTTGCCTGTTAAAAACTATATTTAAAACAATAATAATCTTTAGAATATACCTCAAAAAAATTCAGCTCATAAGTTAGTTCAAATTTAGTCATAAGCTACTACAACATTCCTATGTTTACTGGTGCAGGGCAGAATTTTCAGTCAACTTTGCCAATTTTCTGGAATTTATAGAGATTGAATCAAACTCTGAATTTTCCACTGTAGGAAGCCCTATGAGTCTAGTTTCAAATGCAACAAACGGAACTCAATTCCGACTTTTCTATACGAAGTTATAGCCAATTTTCCAAAGCTGCGCAAAGCCTCCTGCGAAAATTTCTAGATTTTCTAACAACTTGAGATTATGAAACTTTTCTTAACAAAATTCACTCCCTTGGCTCACATTCAACCAAGAATCTAAGGCAAGTAAGTTCAAATAAGAGATATAAAGACAAGTAAAATTTCGAGGTCTTACACTAAACTTACCATTCTTGAGAATAAAAGTGGTTTTAGTTCTATCACAAAGAGCACAAGGACAGCTCATTTGAGAGGAAAACTCTCTCTCTCTGTTCTTGAGAAAAAAATGTAAATGCTAAATTTTTTGAAAGATAGATAAATAGCTCTTTCAGGTTATATCTTTATTGCATGAGTAAAAATATATTTACTCTCTCAGTTCTTGAGAAAGAATGTAAATGCTAAATTTTTTGAAATATAGATAAATAGCTCTTTCCGGCTATATCTTTATTGCATGAGTAAAAATATGTAAATATATTCTATTTTCAGTTATGTCATAATTTCAGGAGCAGTTTTCAGATTAATGTTTACAATTTTCTTGCAGATACCCAAAAACATTCTTTTGGAAATTCTTGGGCCATCAAAAGTTTACAAACAAGTCATTAAAAGAATAATAAGCTCTACCATCTCTGATTATGTGCAGAAGGTAGATCCAATAGGTTCCTTTCCTTCCAATCCATTCCTAACATGTTTTGCTTGGTGCTGGTGAATGCTTGTTTGATTTTTTTTTATGCTCTTATGCTAGCTTGTGCTTGGTATTCTTCTATTGTTTAGTTCCATATTGCTCTTAGTTTGCTTTGAGAGGCCGTACAATTTGCATATTGCATTAGCAAAAGCTTTCAGAGTATAATAATTGATTGTTCTACATTCAAATTTGGTTTAGATTTCTTCCCATCATATGTCTTAGGGTTATAAAAAACATAGATAACTTTGATTGAGACATTTGATACCAGCTATGTTGAAAAACTGACTTCCGACTGCTACTGTTTTAGCATAATAAAGTGATTATCTAGCATTTGGAACCCTAATTACCGTGTAAGGGATATTGGACAAGAATGAGCAATTAGCATCAATTAATGCATCCGAAGAATATAAGACTTGCTTTTCATAACTATAAAATACTGCTTCATGTAGTCTCTTTCAGTTTTATCGTTGTATTACACCTATTGATCTGGAAAGGTTTCACGACTCTTATGAGCTAAGATATTGAGTTGTTGGTTACAGTTTTACTGCATTTTAACATTTTGAAATCAGAGGGCAACTTGTCAGTCTTTGAGGTATCAAGTGTTTACCATCCTTTCCACAAATCTCTATTTTGACCAAATTCAAATTTTCTACTTGCCTCTTCTGCCAAGGGAGTCGCCACCTCTTGTTAATCCCTTTTTCATTAGGATTATTCTTGAATCTATAAGATGCCACGATGTTAGTTAGATACTTATATCCTTTCTAGAAGCATATCCAAGTGGTCTCTCTTACACCTGAAGACCGAGAATTTGTCTTCGTCTGGTAAGCTGGCTTACAGCCAAAAAGTGGTTGCATGACAAAGATATTTTGTATGTGCTTTTCCATAACATAATTCAGATTTACCCTAAACATGTATTAGGTGGAGCCTTTTACCATTTTCTTTCGCTCAATATTTACAATCTTGCAATCATCATAACCTTTTCTTTGAGAATAGATATAGCAGTATTTATGGCGAGGCATTCACTAATTTCATCCTTTCGATTTATCCTCTTTATCTGTTCATCTTTAAGTGACTAGAATATGAGCTAAAATTGTGTCATCCATCAATGCGTATATATATTGCAGGAGGGTTTGTCAGTTGGTAAAGATTTACGAGTGCAACCAAGTTTTGAAGATCTTGAAGCAACGTTTGAACCTGGTGATCAGTTCAAATTTGAGGCCATCCTTCAGTGTCAAGATTGAAGTTTTACAAATAAAGCTTTTGGTATTTTATTGTTGTTTAGAACTTCGCTTAGCTTAGTTATGGCATAGTGTTTTGTAAAGCATGATGTTAAAATTCTTTGCTTCCCAGTTCTATTTGGAAGTATGATTGTGGGAGATATAGCTCATATATGATTCAACTTCTAATTGTGCCTTATCCCATGGGGTTTGCCCAACTAAAATTTGTCATTCCAAAGCTTCAAGAGAATGCTAGATTAGAACTCAAGTTCATTGGGGTGAGACATATTTCTGATATCTGTAATCCAGCCATAATTTTGCTTCAACCATTTGTACACAATGCCAAGGTGAGAAAATTTTCCATTAATTGTTATGGCAGTTTCATAAAGCGTGCGAGAACTTAAAAGAGTCCTATAATGAGAAAAGTAGTAGAAGAAAAAGATTAGTGTAAATGTGCCACAACCATGACAAGAGAATTATACATTCCAACAAGCATAAAATTCCATGTTTTCCTCTTCCAACCACTCACCTGACAAACTTTATGACTGAAAAATTGTTAGTCAATTAATACCTGAGATTTTTTTTCTTCTTGAGCAGAATTATTGAATGAAGCATTCGAAAGCATTAAAAAAAAACAAACAAAATCAAACAGAGGTTATCAGTAGTGCCGAAATTTAAACAACTTTATGGCAATTCTATAGCAATGCAACAGCATAAATGACATTGAGTATAACATCCTAAAAACAAAGGAGTAGACCATTCTTTCTTTAGAATAGGATCAAATTGGGACAAATTGTAACAACTTGTTTCCAATTAGAATATGATCAATCTCAACGTAAGAAATTTGGTGACTCTTCTTGGACCAATGGCAATTGGGATAGCTGCTCTTTTGACATAACAAAATGACTCAAACTCAAACATTTTGCTCAAGAGTTCGACAAGCACAAGCTTGAACTTGAGTGGATACATTCAAGTCGAGCTTGAGCTTGAGATTGAGCTTGAAAATGTTAATATTCAAGTTTTAACTTGGTTGGATTACACTAGTATACACAATTTCCTTCCTTTGAGAATTTCAAGCAAAAGCTGAAAAAGGGTGTGTTTACTTTCCTTTATTCCTGCCAAAGTGGAACAATTGATGTAAATAGTGCGGATAAAGCCCTGGTGACAAAAAAAGGGCACCTTAACCATTACAAAGTTAGCATTTCCCCTCCTGTGCTCAAAATTAGAATGCATTTCAAGTAGGGCGAATCATCCTTGTCTTCTCAATACTAGACATGGAGTACCAGGCTTCCTTACTTAAGCGGGATGTGATTGATAATTATATACCATGTGATGTACCTTGACCATATAATACTGTTCTGTCCCCAGTGTTTTAAGGCGGCTAAAATTTCTTTAAAATTTCGTTTATGTGTATTTAGTAAGCAACTAGACATTCAAAAATCAAGCATGTACTAATAAACCCATTCCATTTTATATTATTGTTTCAAAATAAAATCAAATCTTTCAGAAAAATATTGATAAATGAACTCATATGATGGTAAGACTCTAATCTTGACGGACCACCAGGTTTAAACTGGACATAGATGCAAGGGCGGCCTTAAAGAATACAAGAAAATGTGATGCAATGTTTCTTGTGAGAAGGTGGGGAGCAGTCTATTTGCGTCGTCGTCATTTAATCGAAAAAAGAAGAATAAATAGATAACACAATGGATAGAGAAGAACAGTGACTACTTCAATGAAAGAATTCGACCACATCGGAGGTTTTCTCTCCAAGGCTATTGGCTAGATGTTTCGACTATCAATATTTCAAGCTCTAGTGTAGCACTAAATCCAAATTCTTTTCCAGGAACAAACGATGATCTGAGTTCTCCAGCTGTCTGTATAGTGTTAATCTTGTTGCCTTTCACTGTTAGATTTTCCTGCAGGATTAACAAGAGTAGGAAGTTCATAGGAAAATTTCAATCAGTAACTGAATGAATTTCTAGAATTTACTTGCCTTCTTTGTGTAGTCAGCCAAGGTTGAGCTAACAATTTCCTGTATGACAAAGTTGGAAACACGTTCTTCACCGAGCATTTGAAGTAGAAAATCTTTTGGGACCTGCAAGTATTCCCCATAAAACAAAGAGGAAAAGTAGACAAGTAAAATGTGATGGAGATTATAATCTATTTTAAGTTTGTCTAAGCTACATGGTTAGTTCAACATAGAAGAGCAAAAAGACAAAGGATGGTCAGGTATGAGGACCTACAAAAACCATTAGGTGCTAATAATGAGACTCGATTAAATTATATAAATGATTTCCCAATAAATAGCAGTGTTTGAGAAAAAAAGTTCACATACGTATGGGAAAAGAAAAAAGTAATCCACTTTTACCATAAAATTAGGCACACACATTTGTATCATTTTGAATTTCGACATTATTAAGTTTGTAACTGGATGCAACAATAGAGCTCCAAGGAATTACAAAGACTCGCTATACACCAAACAATTTAACAAGATTTATATGAACCGAAACTAATAGACATCCAAAATGCATTGAGCACCCTGATCCTGAGTAAAGTTTGCTAGATCATGAGATTCTCATATAACCATATGAAAAGCATTTAGTTACAACATATATTAATCTGCATAGGAAGTACTTTCGAGTTTAGACTCATAAATTCCTCTCTTCACTATGTCCTCAAATATAGTAAAGATAGTATTTTCATTTTTTTTTTATTTTCTCTAAACAACTGAAAAGCTCTCTGTTATTTGAAAAAGCTTTTATTTTTGATAATGGTATATCCCTGAATAACCCTTCTATTTCACTGTTAACTGAGGTTACTAACAAATTGATTCAATAAGAACTTTACACCCATGAATAGAATCAGCAAACACAAATTGTTGATGGCTTGTTGCCTAACTCAGGTCATAGCATATCTCCAACTCCAAGAAACTGGTATTAGCTTTCCTTAAATAAAAATCTACAATAAACAAATTAGTTTAGCATTCCTCAATTGAATCTATAATTGATCTACCAACATCTACAACCCTTGTAGTAAAGCTGCTGCCATGGCAGTTAATAAAGTAAATTAAATATTCTTGAAAGCTATCATATCCCAATTTTCATCTATAGTAATCAAAATTGAAACTTACTTCAAGAAAGAACCAAAATAAGGTTTAAAAAAATGAGTAAGACGTTGAGTAATTCCGAGTTCTTCGGCTCATCTGCAGTCTATCTTATGCACCAACAAAATCCAAAGGTCCACAAATATATAACAATGCTATCAAGTACAAAAGAACAACAAAACAAAGCCCGGATGAAAAAATATCAAGGAGAATATGGTAGAAGTCAGAGATTTCAGAAATTTTATCTTAAGTAAACTCACCGGAAATGGTGGAAGAAGACCGTCACTAAAAATTCCGGTCGATTTCTGGTGAACTGTAGCCGCCGGTGAACACTGGGAACTTATGGGTACATGTGACTGCGGTGTAAGTTGGACTTTTACACTAGACCCCTTTTTCGTGTCATATCTTTTCGCTGAAGTCCATCCCCAATGACCTATCTCCATGTTTCGGCCAAGTGCATTTGACTTCTTGGCTATGGCCCAATTAAATGAGCTCTATAGCATGCCATTGAAGCTCATTGACTCGTAAAACTAGAGATGTTCCATTTTGATCCCAACATACACACACACACTATATGCTTCTTCTTTTTTAACCCTAAGTAAACTATTAAATGTTTTTTTGACCATAATAATGTTTCTAAATTTTTCTTTAACATGCATCTTCACTTTTCCTCTAGATTATAAAGAATGCCATAGGGTCAAAACATTGTTAAGAAAGAAAAATGTGAATATGAATCCTTTTTAGGGTTTTCTATTGTGAAAGAATAAATGAAATAGGGAAAAGAGGAATATCATTTTCTTTCCTATTATTACATTTTAACGGAGTCGAGTCGAAGTCAAGCACCTGATAATCGAATACGACTCTAACTATTAATTGAGTTCGCTCGATTAGTAGTTCGAGTTTCAAAAATTATTCGAGATCGACTTGTCAAACTCGGTTTTAAGCTCAAACTCGAGTTCCAAAATCGAGCCGAGCTTAATAAGCTCAAGACTCAAGCTCGAACACCTGGAAATGTCTTACCTATTAACAAATTTTTCAATTAAATTCACAACTAAATTTGCAGTTGAAATAGATGTAGAAATCATAAATTCACAATACAACTTTTCTACATTCAAAGTAGTTATTCTAAATACATTCAAGTAGTTCACAATTCAAGTAGTCTAAATAATTAAATGTCAGCTATCAAGTAGTTCTAAATAATTCTAAAATGTCCAATATCAACCAACATATTTAAGTCCAACTATCCAAGAGTTAAAAATAGCTTTCTTGAACGAAAACAACTTGTGAATGATGTAGCTTTTGAATGAAATCAGCTTGTGGAATCAACATGTGAACGAATTCAGCTTGCACCAGTCAGCACCAGTAGCCACCAAATCAGGTTGTGAATGATTTGGGAAGTTCAACTTCCTCAAATGTGATTGATTCAGTCACATCAATGATTCCTACAAAACAAAACTAAGAAAGTTATAAAGTTCTTGAAAATCAGATATAATGAAACTCTAACAACAGCAAAAACATCCAATCACTTACTTACACAAGACTTGTTCTTTAGGCCATGAAGACTGCAGATCCAATCATTGCCACAAAACAACCTTTGCACCGTCTCAACTGACATAGAAGCTTGTCGATCATCAATTACTCTACCTCCAATGCTGAAGGTAGATTCTGAAGCCACAGTTGTAATAGGGTCGGAAAGTATATCCACAACCATTCTCGACAAGATAGGAAATCTCAATCTTTCCCTTTTCCATCAAGCCAAAACGCATTTGCATCACAAGCATATCTACCTTCTTCTAAATAAACATCTAAATCTGATTTTTCTGATGGAGCCTTGTCAATTTCACTCACATGCATGTGAAACTTTTCTTTACTAGTTAAAATGATGGGTCCAATCATTTTACTAGTTTTTTGACTAGAAGAATTAGAACCTTCATTTTGTCTCCTTTTTCCAGCCTACCTCTATTTTTGTTCGGAATGGAAAAAAATGTGACAATCAACATATTCATTGTAAAGCTCATAAAGAATATCTTTAATCTTAGTTACAAATTTAGGAGCTGCATACTCACCATAAATCACAAGAAAAGTATGATTAACAAGAACCATTTTGTATCTCAGATCCAAAATTGCATCCAAAGATAACAACACATTACTTTCCCCCCAATACTTATCAAATTTAGCAGACACACTTATAGCCATAGCCCTCAAGAACTTTTTCATTTAAAAGCTTTTTAATCCTACACAGCTCCACAAGAAAAATGTTAACTGTTGGATACTCGGATCCAGAAATCATGTTAGTGATTTCATGAAAGATTCCTAGAAATTTGCACACTTCTTCCACTTTCATTCACTCTCAAAATCAATAGGAACATAGTGAATTCCAGGGTCAATGTCTGCATATCGTGAAAAGACATCCTTGAACTCTAAAGCTGAAGTCAACATAAAATAGGTGCTATTCCACCTTGTCGGACAGTTCAAAATTAGCTTTCTAGAGGGCAACTAGTGCTGTTTTTTAATTTTGTCAAATTCAAGAAGCTTAGATTCAGAATTGTTCAAATACTCTATCCCCTCTCTAACAACATAAATCGCATCACCAAGTTGACCGAGACCATCTTGCACTAAGAAATTAAGTATATGTGCACAATACCTAATATGAAAATTTTTTTCTCCAATACTTAATCTCTTTCTTAGAGAAAAATCCTCTCTAAGTCTTCTAATGCACATGTCATTATATGAAGAATTGTCTACAATTATGCTAGAAATCTTATTCTCAATCTCCCAATCAATAAAGCACTTAGAGCATTAGATATAATAACTCCAGTATGAGGAGAGGGAACATTGTAAAAATTCAACACACGCTTTTGTAACACCCATTCAGAATCAACAAAATAAGTAGTCACAATAGATTTCCAAAAATCTGTGGTAATACTAATCCTACAAGCACCTTTCAACAATGATTTTAGTTTCTTTTTTTTTTCAATTGTATAAGTACCAATGTAATGTTCCTTAACAGCCTGTCGATTAATCTTTTTATAAAATAAAGATATTGCTTTCATGAATTTGTTGAAAACTACATGATCTATCATAAAAAGGGGGTACTCATGTGCAAGAACCATGTGTGATCCAAGCTCTCTTACCTTGGCATGATCATATGAGAAATTAGTGATGGAAGTGATACCATCGCTCGAACCTTCAGTGAATGATAGCACCTGCTGCTTCTGTTTACTTTGCTCCCCAGTGGCTAGCTTCCTTTGTAGGCAAGAATTCAGATGCCTCTTATGCTAAGATTTAGCTCCGCCTATACTCTTGGCAAAATGTTCCTTGCAATGGTTGCACTTCACTTTGACTGTTCTATTATCCAACAAAATTGTTGTCATTTCATCACATAGACTAGATTTCTTCATTCTTTGCTTTTTCTCAAAAGATCCAGCTCCATCATCTCCATCTATTTTCTATCCTCCTTCATTGTTCTCACCTTCCATCATTTCCAGTTCTTCTTCACTCATCTCATCAGTTCTTTCTTTGGTGTAGTTCAATTGTTCCACATCTTCGTTATTTTGCTCCATCACAGGAATTGATGATGAACCTTGGGATGAATTGAATAGAGAGCTGTGCATACCTTAATCAAAACACATGCAATAACCAATACAACTTCTGATTAGCCAAAACAGAAATTCATATTAACATTTCCAGGAAATAAGGTTTAAAATAGATTCCAAGAAATAATATTCTTTCAAGCTAGTTTTAACAATTCTTTAACTTGTTTCTATCTCAAGCTTAAATTCAGATTATTGAAACAACAAAGAAACATCTAAAGCCTACGATTAAAACTTTCAACTATTTCCTTGCATATATCTGAACCTTTTCAGGCTTGGTTTTTGAAATTTTTTTCTTTATCAACAAACTAATCATTAATTTAATCAACAACATAGCAAAGCAATTGTAATTAAATTTTTCCCTAATCAATCACCAAATTTTTGATATAAGGTTTAAAATAATTTCAATGGAATGCAAACAAACATACGGGATTTCAATTTCCAATTACATTAGTATTTTAGCAAAATAATATAAATAATTAAACTAAAAAAGACAAAAAATTAAGCAAAACCTAGATAGCCTCTTAAAGCCAAAAATGAATTGCAAATTCAAGGAGTGGTACCAGATTATGTAGCCAGTAGGTGATGTAGTAGTAGCCCCTGACTCTTCCAAGGTGGCTTCATGGCGGACTCATGGCAAACTGCTTACGGACTCACGACAACAAGTGGCGGAGCGTCCTTAAACCCTGATGATAGCAATATCCTAATGAATCAATGGTGGTAACTAGTGAGGTGGTGGATGGATTGAGTGAGTTGGTGGGGGTAGGAAGCCAGGAAAGTAATGGTTGTAGTCCTGCGGAAGAGGGGAAGAGGAAACAAAATTAGGGCAACGCTGCAATGGGAGGTCGAAACTAAGGGACCAACGGCCAATATCCTTCCTGATTGGTGATGGTGGTGAGATGGTTGATGGATTGGTGATGTTGGTGAGAAGGTGCAGCTGTGGGCTGTGGAAAAGGGAAGATGAAAGAAAAATTAGGGTTAGGAACAAGAATGAATTAGGGTATAATTATTAGATACGCAAATGAAATGATACTAATGCCCTATATCTCGAGCCTTTTACTGAGAAAAACTAGCCGATTCAAGCTCTTAACGAGTCGGGTCTCGACTCGACTCACGAGCTACCTGGTTCGATTAATAGCATTATGGTTACTTATATATAACTTAAATGATATCTTAATAACTGATACTAATACACGCAAGGTTGAAAGATTTTAGGTGTATTTTGATTCAATTTTCAGAAAAGCACCAAGCCTTCCTAGGTTACACAATTATCATCTCATGAACACAAAATTTTTTTGGCTACTATCGTAAATATGTACTTCAAGCCAACCTCTCCACTGTGAATTATAAAAGCAACAATCATATACGTCATGCTATTCAACTATCAGATGCTACCATAGATGTCTTTTTTAAATTAAAGGATATGAAATAACAACTGAATATAAATTAATTTAGTGATAGTAATTCGACTTGTTTTTACATTTTTTATGACACTTAAGACTGGAGAGACCAGAAAAGAATATGGAAATTCACAATGTGGATTCAAAACGTAGAAATAGAGAAATTGAAAAAGATAGCTCTAAACCAATAAAGGAGGGGTGGTGACAAGGAAATACAAAAGAATAATTATTCCACATTTAAATTGCATTCAAAGGGGCAAAAAAGTGTAAATGCAAGAGAGTATATTATTTCCCCGATCCCTACTTAGGAGAAATTTTATGTCCTTTCAGAGCAACAACTCTTAGATACCAAGTAGTTAGTTCAATACTAGTGGAAAAGTTTCATGTGGATATATAAAAATCCCACTTACTGATTCATATGCTAAGTGGGTATTATCTTTTTATGCACTG